CACACACACACACACACACACACACACACACACAAGAAGGAAAAACATAAGAAAAAAAGCAAAGGAGAGTTATCCTCTCTCCAGTGTGAACCTTCCTCCCAAATTTTATCTACTTGTCTTCCAGACTCTTAAACTACCAGTCCTATGGAGTACCCCTTTTTTCCTTCTGTGTTGCAAGCCAGGCCACTATCAGGTTCGTGCAAAGGGCCCGTGCAGATAAGGGGTGATCTGTGTCAGGGCGTGTAGATTTCCACATACATCCACAAGTGTTTTCTCTGCTTGGTTGGTGGTGATTTCTATGTGTACATTGACCAGAGGCAACTTTTCCTCTGCCCCACAGTGTTTTTGAGTGAGACCCACTAGGCCTGAGGCAGGTTCATAAAAAAAACAGGCTCGAGGTTATTGGTGGCTTAATCAACCTTCTGCCTCAACTAGCCGATATCAAATAGCCTTTGTACATGAGCACAAGAGAGCACAGACACCAGGAGAGAGCCAGGTGGGGTTAGACAGAGGGAGACCAACCGACCGACCGACTGACTGAGGGAGGGAGGGAGGGAGGGAGGAACGGACGGACAGGCGCACAGATGGATGATGGATGGAGGAGCGCACGGAGGGACAGAGGGACAGAGGAACGGACGGAAGGACAGACAGACAGACAGATGGACAGATGGAGGGATGGAGGGATGGAGGGGTGGAGGGACGGAAGGAGGAACGAAAGGAAAGGACGGACAGATGGAACGGTGGACAAACAGAACCGATGCACAGATGGAACGGACGGACAGTCGGAAGGACGGAAGGACAGAGGGTATTGAATATCCCTCAAATAAGGGGCTTTTTCTGCCTGGAGGCTTTTTCTAGTGACAGCATATTGGAAAGGAGCTGGCACCCTGCAGGATCTCCCACTCACCAAACTGCTTTTCTTTCCTTTCTTTTCCCACAGGGAAGAAGGCTATGCATTGACGTTTGGTCATCTCAAGATGCAAAACTCAACTTTGAGACAATTTAATCCATTGCAACTCATGAACAACTTTGGATTTTTTTTTATTTTATTTTTTTGCCGGGACCTCCCATGGTCCTTGCACTGCCGGGCAGCCCAAGAAAACAAGGTGACCAGGGCGGCCCGGCTGGTAGCCTAGCTTGCAAAAGTTCTGCATGCTAATTTCATCTCCTTTGAAACGGTTTTCACCTCTTTCCAGTAGCAGACGCAGATCCCAGGGTTCGATCCCTAGACCTTGCCCTACCCGTGTACAGTACCTGTGTAGACCCCGAGAGTTGAACCTGTGACCTGTGTATTCGTGAACAGTTGATAGGCTGTCATAGGTCCGTAGGTAGCAGGGGTTCGATCTGTAGACCTGTAGGATAGAAGTCTTAGCGAAGTCTAGAAGTCCTAGCTGTAGCCTTCTAGAAGGTCAGCAAGTGGGCAAGTGGGCAAGTGGGCAAGTGGTGAGTCAAGTGGTGGACTAAACTGCAGTGCAATTGCAGTACGACGGTGGTAGGTTAGCAGCGAGTCCCCACTCAGTCAGCGGTAAGGTCCAGTCAGTCCCAGTCCGGTCCAGCAAGTACCACAAGGGACTGTGAGCACCATGGGCCGATGGCAAAGGGCAGACCAACGAGTTTCAGAAGTATAAATCAAGAGGCAGCGCCCAGCCATTTTCATTCCTGCGTGAGCCATGCGGAAGCGCTGCCACAGCGACTTGTGCAAGGAGGTCTGCAGTGATCCCGGAGCTGAAGTGGGCAAGAGAGAAGGAGCGTAGCATAGCGATAGGGTAGTTGCGGCCATAGCCGCCATAGCTAGAGTTAGTGTGTAGCGAGTGTGTGTGTGTGTGTGTGAGTTCAGAGAGTCGCGTGTGGGATATCCAGGGTGATCCGGTGTATGTGAACAGTGAGGTGTTTGGGCGCTGAGTCGCCATAGCCAATTGAGAGTGAACTCGTATCTGGATGCCATATCTCTGAGTTTTGAGTGGCCGCATGTCGCCAGTTTGCTGCGCTACTGTTTACATGCATGAAAAGTGCGAATGAAAGCAAGTCTGATTGCACCTTGTTAGGCTTCTATCTTGCTGAAAACCGGCTTTCCCAAAAGAAAAAGAAGAAGAAGAAAAAAGAAAAGAAAAAGAAAAAAAAACACTTAACTTGAATACAAGGATCGACGTCTTATACACCTTGATGGCCAGCTCGTTCCCAGCACTTGTCACTGCATGATACACATTTGCCTTGACATCAACAAAAACACCGGATCCCCACATTCACCCATGACAATCACAAAATCAGCTGCAGGTTTAAAAAGACTAAACTGTAAACCAGCACTACCTCCGAGCCTCTTTTCGCCACCCCTGAATTAACCGGTGCGCGCACTTTTGCCGAGCCTAGCATGGGGGCGGTACCGTTTGATTTTTCTTTTTTGGTACCGCTAAACTTTCGTCGCGGCTGACAAACACACAAAAGAAGAAGGAAAAAAACACAATACGCCCTGCCTCTCTGGCAGGGCACTAAGAAGACGAAAAGAAGGAAAAATAAAACAAAAACAACAACAAACATGTTGCCGTAATAGTGGCCAGATACATTCTGGAAAGTACTACTACGACTATGGCCTCGGTGAGGGCCTTCCCCCCCACATCATTGATCTCGAAGGAGTTCGTTCTTTTTCTTTTTTTTTCCCGTTCTCATAGCGGGCCCACAGCGCCCAAATGTTTTTCTTTTTTCCGTTTTCAGGTAGCCGGACCCCCCAAGAATGCGGTATAGCGGTATAGCTTGTACTCCCAAATGTGACTACAGCTTGGAAAGGTAGTGGTGGTTTAAACTTTCAAATGTTAAATTTTGAACCACAGAGTTTCTTTATTTATGAACATAAAAGCCAGAAAACCTCTTAAACCACCAGTACTTGGCCCAACTATCGATGCCGAGCCTGGAATGCCCCTGCATGCCAACTTTTACCGAAGCGTCGGGGTACCGTTTCAATTTTTTTTCGGCTGGCGCTTCCAGCCATTGTGGTCCGGTACCCGAAGCCCTAAAGGCGCAGCGTGTTAACGGGGAAGCGCCGCGGCCGATAGATGGGCCAAGTACTGGTGGTTTAAGAGCCGAGAGCAAGATCAGTCCTCTTAAATCTTTGGAGGGGGGGAGGAGGGGGAGGACAGCATCCCCTCAACAACACCCTTTTTCTTTTCGTTTTTTTTTTTTTTTCCCCCCAATTCACAACTATCGTTTTTGAATGACCACTATTTTATCCGGCAATTTTTAGTTCAAAAGTTCACCACTGTTTGCTGAAACTTTCATTGCTCAAAAAAAAAAAAAAAAAAAAAAAGCTTCCGAGAGATTCGTATATAACTTAATATAAGCTATTAAGTATTGTACTAAATAACTTATTAAGTTATATTAACTGTTATACCGCGTTTAACGCAGGGACGCAGCCATTTGGGTCGCATGTTTTATGTTCTAGACAACCAAGTTTGGCAAAGGTGTTATGAAGTGGGGGATGGGCAGCCTTCTGGATATGGTAGGCTAAGTGCCAGAAGTTGCAAAATGCATTCCTCATTCCTAGAAGTGCATTCCTCATATAGGCTTGCAGTAGCATGTTTAAACCACCAGTACTTTCACAAGTTGCGCCTTGTATACGACTAGCCAAATGAAAAAACGGTGGCATTTCCACTTGACTGAATTTGTACCAGCATCCCAGGCCCGTTCACGCCGAAAGTCTCAGCCTGGCAGCCATATATGAGTAGTGACTTTGGGAAGTACTGGTGGTTTAAACTTTAAGCCACCAATACCTTTCTCAGTTATTGATGCCGAGCCTAAAAATGCCCTGCGCACGCTGAGCCTGAAAGTGAACAGTACCGGTACCATCCGATTTTATGAGATGAATTGGTGAGCATAGGTCCGCCGGGACTTCATCATGGAAAGCGGTGAACCTCCGTTAGGGAGCGGATGCAGATTGGGGCAGTGGTTTATCCTAAATTGCGAGGAGGTGGGAGGGTTTTGCAGGGCCGTCAGCCCCTGCCGCACGCGTGGTAGGGTATTTCCTCGGGTTTGCAGAAACACCATCATGGTAAGAGTCAGTGTTCTTGGTAATGGTGAGGGCAGGCAGCGGTGCAGTCTGCCCTGAATTGCGAGGAGGTGGGAGGGGTCCGTGTTTGCAGTTGGGCGGCTGTGGACACAGACCCCTGCCGCGGGTGTGGCAGAGCAGTTTCGCAGGGAGTGGTGACAGCCTTGGATGGTTGCTTTTCTCTTTCGTGGTTTCATTGGTTTCTGTACTGATCTCATACGCTTTTGAATTGCTTTGTCTTGTTGCACGGCCCCGGAATGGACCGGTCCGGAGTGCCTGGATCATTCCAACGTGGCTGCCGCCTTTTTTTGTAAGGGACACCGGGCGCAGGTTCCGGCGGAGTGTATAATCAGCTTTGGGCACTGGGCCCGTTTGTCAAAAAAAAAAAAAAAAAAAGGGGGAAATTGCATCTGTACCCCACTTAAAGATGGGAATACCCTCTATACCCAGTCCCACAGCACGAACTTGCATCTATACCCGGAGGCCGTTCAACTTTGTGTAGTACCCACCTTGTCCCCTGTGTGAAATTGTAGGTGTACCCAATTGCACAGGCCCTGGATTCCGAGCACGAAATTATGCTGATGCCCACCAAGTAGACCGTTGTGGCCCAACGGCTCCTGGGTATGAGCATAATTTCAGCCATCCGGTAGCAGGGTATATGAACAATTTGGCCTCTCCTCCTCAGATCCTGGGTGTGCCCATAATTTTGCCTGGACGTGTAGATAATTTGTGCATTCCGATAGTTGGTTATAACTACAATTTTGCAGTACCAACCTGGGTCCACCTCGGTCCTGGGCATGCCAACAATTTCCACCAGCCATTTTGTGGGTATAGGTGCAAGTTGGCGCTGGGACTGGGTATAGCCGGTATTCCCATCTTTAAGTGGGGTACAGATGCAATTTCTCCCCCAAAAAGAGGGCACTACCGGTACCGACCTCTGTGAAAACCGTCTGGTGGACCTCTGCCCAGCAGAGGGAATACAAAGAATGCGGTCGTTTCCACTATAAAAAAGGATAAAAGCGAAAAAGAAAAAGTCCGAAAAAACAAAAAGTCTGAAAAACAAATGAACCACGCTGAAGGCATTCTATTGCTCCCCGCCTCTGACCGGGAGTTCCTTTTCCCTTTTTTTTTTTTGTACAAGTGATACCATAGGGCCCCAACATTTTCTTCTTTTTGCCGAGCCTCTTCGGGACCTCCGAAGAATGAGGTTGCCATTCACTTTTCACTTTGAACTACAGCTGTGAAAAGTAGTGGCAAGTACTTGTCAAATCTGCACAGGCCTGCCGTTCGGGCCCTTTTTCATTTATCATTCTAGTATTTCTGTGAACTCCGTAGCAGCCAGCCCCTGTCCAAGCCTCCAACGAGGGCACATGCGGGGGCTGCACCCCATCTGCACGTGGGCGATACCGGCCAGGGGTTAGCCGGTAGCATCAGGACCGAGCTTCTGTGATGGGCCAGTTGCTGTACCTCCCCTCCGGTCCCCTCCCCCTGCGAACATCAAGAGTCCTGCTCAATGCCGCTCGGGTGGACCAATGGGCTATCTCAAGGTGGCGGGCCCCAAGCTTGCCCAGGAAGGTACATGAGACCAGAGGGGATAGAACCCAAGACCTCCTGAAGGGATGGACGGGTAAAGAGCCAAGATTCTTAGATCTCAGGAGAAAAGAAAAACAAAGTGAAGAAAGAAAACCAAGCTACTGAGGCCTTGTCCGCTCCTGTACCACCCCACACACAGCCAGAAATACAGTTCGCAGAGCTTCCCCGCCTCCTATAATAAGGCACGCTGGAACGTGCAAAACGAGAGTGAATATTCTGTTAGAGCAAAAGGGAAACAATAGACGACGCCTTGTACTAAATTCGAACGACCTTGACAAGATAAGCTGCGCTATGACCGGTCTTAGGGACGACGGCGACCGGACCCTGTTTTCTGCTATCCGAGACCCCTAACGAACCCGTCCTAGCAACACTGTACTGCCCGACATTTCCTGAAATAGAGAGAACACAAAACGACGAAAACGAAACCCACACAAGCGCAGCCTCCTGGCTGCGAACAGCTCCCTTGCTAGATCAGGGGGAAGAAACAAGGAACGGGTGAGGGGAAAAAGGTAGTCAAGGGGGCTGTGCCGAGAGGGAGGGGAAGGAGAAAAGATATATACAAAAAATTAAGAAAAAAAAGAAAAGGACAACACAAAAAGGCTTTATCCCTCAATAACAAGCTGGCTCAAAAGACAACGATGACCAATGAGCTGCACTGTGAGGAAGAAAACTGGATTGGAGAGAGGCAGCATACTCTTTTCTCTGTGGCACAAGGCACATCACCATAACCACAGACGGACATGTGCGATGAATGAGCCCTCGCGGAGCCCTTATCAAACATACAAGTGTTCTGGGCTGTGGCCCCCAGCAAGCCTCGTGCCCGCCCTAAGTGAAGGCGGGCCTGAATATCCACGTGAGGCCTGTTGTCGACAATTTTTCCATATGTGGGTACTCAGACAGTTGCAGCACGCCAGTTTGTTACAGAGCAACGTGAGCCTCCAGGCTCTTTCCAGAAGCATTCTCATTGGCTGCGCTGTACAGTTGAGCCCAGGGCTCAGGCGGTTGCGCCCTGGGCACACGCTGTGCAAGGCCGACACATCCCGGACTGGTTACGGCCCAACGAGGAAGCAGCATTGTCGTCACACATGTGCCGCGAGCCAATGAGAATGCTGCAACCAACCACTTGGAGACTGGGAGGCTGCCTGGACGTGCCTAACTGCACGAGGCCCACTCCAGTTTCGGAAACTGGGCCTGGGTGCAGACACTTGGGGCCCAACTGAAGCTACTTGGCCCCCACACGCCAGGCCAGGACAGCCAGCAGCGGCACACTTTCCATAAAGGAAAGTGTGAGCCCCTGGGAGGGGCATTCTGGCGTTAGCAGGCAATGCGGACACACTGCTGCGCTAGTGTCTGCATGTGCATGCTGGTCGGATGCGCGCACGGGCGCTGAGGTGAGGGGCGCTGTAAGGGCAGCAGGCGCACAGCAGCCATAGCCGGGCAGCAGGGGTGCAAGGCAGGTGATGGCGAAGGTGGTCTTCGGGTAGGAGGCGCATGATGTGGGGAGGCGAGGGTTGATGACGAGAGGAGAGAGAACGTACCTGGTGTATGCTGGTGATCGGCATTAGTGTTGACGTCACGTACATTGGTCTTCGACTTCAGAGTGATCCAGATGCGAGAACTTAGATAGGTTAGATAGACTGAGTAGGATAGGCTGGGCGCTGGGCACCAGACAGTAAGTGTGACATCGGATACAGTGTTAGTGTGACCAGAGAGTGGCGACATTGACATTCGAGTTCACTGCATTGCTCTTATTTGGACGGTATCGTGGTGCATTGCACACTCTGCTTGGTTCATGACTATCTGAGCTACTTCGTGATTTTGCAACTTGGATTTCTGTCTATTGCTGTCACTCATATTCCTTGCACATGTCCTGTCAGGGGAAGAGTGCACACATCCACTCCTTGCAGTGGCATGCAAGCTTCATATTCCGGATTGCACGGTGACGACATAGAAGCAGGCCGATATATCACAACAGCCAGCATGGCTTTCCGTGTTCTAAGATCCTGTTTTATCCATCTTTCTTTGTTCTTCTGTGTGTTTTTGAGCAATCACCACAGCAAACCCCACCCCTTTCCCACTTTCCACTGGGACGTATACCGTTATCATATACGTTGAACACTCTTTTTTTTCTTCTTCTTTTATCCTCACCATCCGACATAATAAAAGTTACACATGATTATCATGATGTTTTGGTGAAACGGACAGCCATTTCACTGCTGTAGAGCGGCAGTGCAAGGCATGGTATATGTCAGTGTGTACTTTACCTCAAAATGCATACACATACATTTGCCTTTCAGCATGCACCTTATATTTTGTCTGCTCTCTTAGTAACACTCATTTGTATGCATTACGCAGTTCTGCGCGGGAAGCTGAAGGAGGCAACACAACAGAAGGGAGAGAGAGAGAGAGAGAGAGAGAGAGAGAGAGAGAGAGAGAGAGAGAGAGAGAGAGAGAGAGAGAGAGAGAGAGAGAGAGAGAGAGAGGGCACAGAAAAGGACCCCTTAGCAATATCCTGAATACTCGTCGGTACAACAGACCACTAGAGAAGAGCACGAAACACAGTCGCCGCTAAAGGGTCGGGTTGCCCAGAAAAAGAATGGAGAGGGAGATATTGCCTATGGTGGGTGGGTGGGTAGCCCGCACCCCAACAGACGGGGGCACGACCGATTAGAGTTAGGGCGTGCTTGTGGAATCACCCCACCCAACCCTCGCAATTACAGTCACCCCACCCAACCCCAACAGATCTCCCACACAACAAGGTTTCTACTTGCTAAGACGCATGTTGTCGAGTTCGATATCGACAACGCTTTTTAAACCACTAGTACCTCCGAGCCTATTTTCGACTAGTTTTGGTCTACCTACAAACTTTCAGGAGGCCAAGCCCGACAACGGCTGCTGTTGATAAATCTGATCGGCGGCCGTCGTTTCATTTCGGCCTCCTGAAAGGTCGGAGGCCGAGTATTTTCGAACCGACAGAGGTACTAGCGGTTTAAGAAAAACAGAACACCGCGCCAGACTTTCGTCAGGCTTTCGTTGTTGTACTTGGCATCGAGTCGTCGTCGATGATTTTCTGTGCAAGTCTTTCTGTTCTATATTATTTTCGCGCACCAACACCCTTCCGAACTCGTCGATGATTTTTTTCATCACCAGTCCGAACTCATCGAGTCATCAGGTACGGACTGGTGATGATGCTCCTGAGGCTTAAAGCACCAGCACACCAGACATCGGCCCGCGGGTGTCAGCATGAAACCCACACCACTTCGGAGGCTGCCGATTTGTTTTTTTCAACGGTGCCCCCTGCCCCACGGCCCCTCCGTGTTTTACTTGTGGCGACAAAAAACTTTCTGCGAGGCTGGGGCCGTGTACTGGCGTTTTTTCAACTTTATGTTGAAAACACCAAAAGCTTGAAGTGAGAGTCAGCAGCTTCACTTAAAGCACCAGTACACCATACACAGGCCCACGGGTATCAGCGTGGAACCCGCACCACACTTCGGAGGCCGCAGATTTTGTTTTTCAATGGCGCCCCAGGCCGGCGGCCCCTCCGAGTTTTGCTTGTGGCGACAAAAAACTCGCTGCAACACTGGGGGGCCGTGTACTGGCAGTTTAAGCCCAGGCCACACTGTGGCTAGGAGGTTCATGCTACCAAGGAAAGGAAATCACGAGCCAGGATGCTATGAAAGCCAAGAGGTTCACGCTAACAAGGACAGCTCGAACCTGGACGTTATCACAGCCAGGAGGAGGTTCGCAATTGCAAAGCATGGAAATCAAAGCCCCCAACTTCAAAAAGAAAAAAAGAAAAAAAAAGCCCAGTCTGAGAACCACAGCTATGTTCACCAAGGGCCAGGCCCCACTGGCGCTATGTTCATGTTAGGGAAGCATGGACCTGGACGGCATCACAGCCAGGTTCATGCATTCCAAGCATTTAACATAGATAGCACCCAGTGGTACCTCATCTCCCTTATCTAAGGCTCGAGGCGGCCGGAAATTTTGGATTGCTTTCTCTTTGAAATCATTTGTATTTGTTAAACACTGAGCGGCACCGTACAGCATTTAGTTCATTCACCAAAGAGAGCAAGAAACATGACCGTGCATGAACGTGTACCTCTTTCCCAGTCGAGATGCATCCATTGATTTCGCAGAAAACACCCTTGTGCAGCATCTTAAAGAGCACCATCCTTGTCCGTGGATCTAGAGCCTGGTCACACACCGTCACACCATTGTCTGGTCAAAGAACATCATACCATTGTCTGGTCAAAGAACATCATACCATTGTCTGGTCAAAGAACATCATACCATTGTATTGGTCACACACACCATCATACAATTGCCTGCCTGGTCACACACACCATCAGACCATGAATTGCCTCCATGGACCCATAGTCTGGTCACACAAAGCCACACCATTGTCTGGTCACACACCATCATAGCGTTGTCCGGTCACACACACCATCAGACCAACGCCTGCCACGAACACACACCATTATACCATTGCCTGCCTGGTCACACACACCATCAGACCATTGCCTCCATGGATCCACAGCATCGTCACACACTGTCACACCATTGTCTGCTCACGCACCATCATGCCATTGTGTGGTCACACATAATCAGACCATTGCCTGCCTGGTTCACACACACACACACACACACCATCATCATACCATTGCCTGCCTTTGTCGCACACCATCCTACCAGTGTCTGCCTTTGTCACACACCATCACACCAGTGTCTTGTCACACACCATAATTCCAGTGCCTGCCTTGCCAACCATCATACCATTGCCTGCCTGGTCACACACGATCCTACCATAGCCTGCCTGGTCACACACCGTCACACACCATCCTACCGTAGCCTACCAGGTCACACACTATCAAACTGCCATTGTACAGTCACACAGCATCAGACAAAAGTTCTCGTCACATCCCATCATAGCCACAGAGCATCACAAAGTCGAGTGCACACCATCGTACCTGAGAGTCCGGTACGTGACAAATTTCACACAATTAATTACCCAACCACGCACCACAGTATGTTATTGAATGGTCACACGACCCGCACAGCATCATCTGCCATTCAGACAAACCATGAGCAATATCCAACAAGAGTAGAAAGCAGCAGATACTAGACTCGAGGAGGAGCAGAGAGCAGAACCAAAGGACCAAAAGGCTGCTGCTCATCAACAGTGCGGCATACTTCCCCCAAAAGTAAGAATAATATTTAAAAAACTATTTATTAACATCTTTCCGATTTCATAGAATAGCAATCACTGTAATCAGTTCTTTATAAGAAAAACAAATTAAAAAAAACGGCCATTTAAGAGCCGGACCCTTCAGTCCCCCCCTTGCCAGGTGTCTAGGGCCACAAGGTATGGGCTGGTCCTCTGTCTTGTCTGCTCTCCCCCCCCCTCCTCTCTTTCAGATGTAAAACCATGCTTGCCGGTGACGAGCAATCGGACAGAGGCCCCCAGAATAGAAGGGGCATTTTGCTTTGTCAAAATAAAAATAAAAATAAAAATAAAAATAAAAAAGGATACCGTTGATTCTTCTGACAGAAACAAATAGGTCTTTTAGACACAATTCCTCATCGTGAACGCTACTTCAAGCCGGGGGGAGGGGGAGGGGGAGGGGGAGGGGGGGGGAGAGGGCGGGGGAAACTTAACACTGTTAACGGTATGTCCCTACTTTTTGTATAGTTTTCCTTTCAGAGGAGAAGGAGAGAAAGATGGAGATAGGAAACTGTCCCTATATCTACACTCAGTAAAAATCGTATGATACCACCCAGGCCGTGTGGGTGAATGGTATACCCATCGTTGAATTGGAGATGAAATACATGAGCTCGAATGAAGGTAAAATAAAAAATAAAAAAAGGGGCATGATACCCACCACCATCGCAGGGTCCATACATACGTATACTTGTGTCTTTTATATGCCAAAAAAAAATGTTACTCACAGTACAACTTTTTGGCTGAATGTAGACAGCGATAAGGTCAAATGCATCACAGAAAGTCTTCTCAGAGAGTGCAACGCTGAGATCATTCTCTTCTCTTACTTCCCAATCTCACCTGCTCGACCGTTGCCCTGTCGCTTTTGTCGACGACTCGAACACGTCCTTCCACTTCCCGTCTCGAGCATTCTTTCACTGACGTGGCTCCAATCTCATAGGCGCTGACCTTCCCTGCCTCCTGCTCAAGCAACGATCCAGAAACGTCCAGATTCACATGAACCCCCAAGCAGTGTTTGCATACAACATGTGCTGTGTTATGATCAATCACCCCCCTCCCTTGTCGACTACTGCTAGTGTTTTTATTAATTCCCTCTTTTTGACTAGGCTACCCGGGTTGTCCAGCCATGCACCCCCTAGTGTTTTTATTAATTCCCTCTTTTTGACTAGGCTACCCGGGTTGTCCAGCCATGCACCCCCGCAAGTAGCCCAGGGGTCATCTGCACAGGGCACCCCATGCAGGCAAAAAAAATCAGCCCTTTCTTTTTTTTTCTTTTTTTTCTTCTTTTTTTTTCTTTTTTTTCTTTTTCTTTCTCTTTTTTTTCTTTTTTTTCTTCTTTTTCTTTTTTTTCTTTTTTTTCTTTTTTTCTTTTTTTCTTTTTTTTTTTCTTTTTTTTTCTGTGGGGCACCTCTTGCGCCCACCTGGCTCTGTCCGAACCCGGGCTGATTTTCGTTTACACAACGCTTCAGATTCCGACTAAACGAGACTCAATCAAACTCAGAACACTCAAAACAGACTCAAAACAGACTCAGAACAGACTCAAAACAGACTCAAAACAGAATCAAACAGACTCAAAAGAGAACCAGACGGAGACTTACATGGATGTATGGACTCTAGCAGACTAAAAACAGACTCGATCAGACTCAGGGAGTCAGGGGTCAAAACAGAATTATTCGCAATGTAATGTTAAGAAGAATCACACGAGCGCCATCGTCACTTCACAAACAGCCTCCTCGAATGACAAAAACAGCGGCAGACTTTTTTTGGAACTCCATCGCAGCTCTGGGAGGCCCACCCAGTGGACCAGCCTGGCCACTGGGTCTGAGAAGGGCCGTGGTCAAAGAAGCAAAATCCACCTAGCACCACGCCGGGGGCATCTGCACGTCCGGGTGTTAGGCAGCATCTCTCTCTCTCTCTCTCTCTCTCTCTCTCTCTCTCTCTCTCTCTCTCTC